AAATAATTTTTAAAATTGGCATTTAAACATCACCGATGTGGAACGTCTTGTTGAAAGAAAGAATGCCGACTATTCATTAGATTACCAGTAACAAGACTCTTGTTGTTAACAGTACATGAGCTTACTATTCATTAGTATATCAGCAACCATGAATATGTTGCTGAAAAATAAATAGCACACACTCTCTCAAATTTTTAGTAACATGGCTTATGTGGGTGAAACTACCCCAAGAATCTCACCAAAATTGATGACCAAAAATTAGCAAAATTTTACCAACATAACTCACGTTGCTAATTTCAGTAATGTGGTTTATATTGTTGAAAATATTCAAAAATTTTGCCGCAATCTTCACCAACAAAAGGCAAAATTTGGCAAAATTTTTAGTAATACAAATCACGTTGCTGAAACAATATTTTTAACAATGTGCCTTATGTTGCTAATACATTACCAACAAAATTCGTGTTGCTAATGTATCACCTAACAGAGCTTTTAGCAACTGCCGAAGCAGTTTCAGCAACATGAGAACCTTTTTCAGCAACATGAAAGCATGTTGCTGAAAATAGGAAATTTAGTAGTGACCTTTTTGCATGTTTCCACTAACTAACCGACCTATTTTGACACGAGTTCAGATTGCTCAGGTTGGCCAGAAAAAAGAACCTGTGCCCAGGGAAGCCAAGCGAAGGAGCGTGGTTCAACGGGTCAAAATTAATGACATAACCGGACCAAACGGACTGGAAGGGCTATTGTCATGGCGATTTTAATTTGGTAAGGTTAGCAATAATTGTTAAATTTTTAATTTAATTTAATTATTAAATATAATTAATATTTACTATTTAACATGTTAAAATTAATTTATAAATAAATATTTCTAAATATTATAATTAATTATTAAAAATTATAACTTAATAAAATTACAATTAAATTGGTGCCTTTTGCAATTTAGGTGGTGGCAATAACTTAGGAGGTGCAGTAAAGAAAGATTTTTTTTTTTAATAAAAATGGTATAGTTACAATATCAACAAGTTTATAATATGATGTGTTGTTAAATAAATAGTTTTTTTCTTTTGAGAGTATACTCTAGTATTATATATCTATTTATTTTATATCATATATATTGCATTTAA